CATGCAACCACAAACGAGAACTACTGATCTAAATTCACAAACAATTTCAACGTAAACAAATTCTTTTTCTGCCTACACAAAATCGGCTTGGTGGTAAGAATGTAAATAGACTCCAATACACGCAAATACCTTTGACTACGTGAACGAGACCAAACAGAAAAGCAATCATCAGCATAACTAGAACGACAATCACTATTCTGAACAAGATGGTTGGCGATAGAAGATTCATACACCCTAACAACGCTACTAGAACCAGGACATACTTTGGAATTACGTGAGAATGTAACCGACCTGACATTCCTTGCCGCTACTGCCAATCCAGACGAGGCCGATGTAGATGTCAGTACCAAAGGCACGTCCGTTACTGGCACTGCCTGCTGCGATGATGCTCCCTTTGACGTTCCAATGGCTGTTGATGTTGGTGAAGAGGAGGAGGGAGATGAGGAAGACGCTGACGACGACGATGACGACAACGACGGAGACGATAAAGACTCTGCTAACCTCGCCCTAGAGCGAGTCACTGGTCCCGCAGACACACCATCCGGTGGTTTCTTCGGTGGCCGGCCACGCTTTTTGTCACCGGAGGTGGATCCACCGGATGACGGTACCAAGGAAGTCAAAGAAGACGACACCGCAGATACCAACGATGATGACGGGATAGAAGGAAGAGACGGTAAAGACGAAGGCAATGACGAACAAGCCGATGCCGACGAAGAAGACAACGACACCCCAGTTGGTTCCGTCCCCAGCGAGGGTGCACCTCCAGTCGCAGTACCAATCTTTGGGGGACGACCTCGTCTAGGCCTTGCATTGTGCGTATATATATTGAGTTAAGAGCTTTTGTGGATGTGCCAGTAATCCTCTGATGAGATGGCGACGAAAACGTTTAGGAACAAGCTTCTTTATTTACATGAAAACAAGTTTTGCTTATGGTGTTTGTACTGAGTGCGCAGCTAACTCTATTTATTGCGTTGATTATTATTATTATTATTATTATTACTATTCAAGGGATCAGTCAGTTATTATTATTATTATTATTATTACGAAGTAGTGGTTGCGACCTCGGCGATGATTAGTAAGAATTGTTATTATTATCATTCGTTGTAAGATTTGTTATTATTATCATTCGTTCTCACTTTTTTGTTTTTGTTGCTGATACACACTTCGTATTATTATTATTATTATTATTATTATTAAGTCTGAAGAAAATGTTGAACAGTCTCTGCTGGGATGACGACTACACCATAGCTCAGTGGTTAGAGCATCGCTAGCTACAAGCGAGGGTCCCTGGTTCGAGTCCTGGTGGTGACAGTCAATTTTTTCTTCAGACTTTTCCCGTTTGTCTCTTTCCCTCAAACTAGTGAAGATGTTATGAGTTGGGGCTCCCCGCGTGCTAGAGTGTACGTGAAGTGTGTGGGTACAGTGAGGGCTGCGTCCCCGCCCGCCTGTGTGGATTCACAGGAAGTGTGAGCTACGAAGTCTGAAGAAAATGTTGAACAGTCTCTGCTGGGATGACGACTACACCATAGCTCAGTGGTTAGAGCATCGCTAGCTACAAGCGAGGGTCCCTGGTTCGAGTCCTGGTGGTGACAGTCAATTGTTTCTTCAGACTTTTCCCGTTTGTCTCTTTCCCTCAAACTAGTGAAGATGTTATGACTTGGGGCTCCCCGCGTGCTAGAGTGTACGTGAAGTGTGTGGGTACAGTGAGGGCTGCGTCCCACCCGCCTGTGTGGATTCACAGGAAGTGTGAGCTACGAAGTCTGAAGAAAATGTTGAACAGTCTCTGCTGGGATGACGACTACACCATACCTCAGTGGTTAGAGCATCGCTAGCTACAAGCGAGGGTCCCTGGTTCGAGTCCTGGTGGTGACAGTCAATTTTTTCTTCAGACTTTTCCCGTTTGTCTCTTTCCCTCAAACTAGTGAAGATGTTATGACTTGGGGCTCCCCGCGTGCTAGAGTGTACGTGAAGTGTGTGGGTACAGTGAGGGCTGCGTCCCACCCGCCTGTGTGGATTCACAGGAAGTGTGAGCTACGAAGTCTGAAGAAAATGTTGAACAGTCTCTGCTGGGATGACGACTACACCATAGCTCAGTGGTTAGAGCATCGCTAGCTACAAGCGAGGGTCCCTGGTTCGAGTCCTGGTGGTGACAGTCAATTTTTTCTTCAGACTTTTCCCGTTTGTCTCTTTCCCTCAAACTAGTGAAGATGTTATGACTTGGGGCTCCCCGCGTGCTAGAGTGTACGTGAAGTGTGTGGGTACAGTGAGGGCTGCGTCCCCGCCCGCCTGTGTGGATTCACAGGAAGTGTGAGCTACGAAGTCTGAAGAAAATGTTGAACAGTCTCTGCTGGGATGACGACTACACCATAGCTCAGTGGTTAGAGCATCGCTAGCTACAAGCGAGGGTCCCTGGTTCGAGTCCTGGTGGTGACAGTCAATTTTTTCTTCAGACTTTTCCCGTTTGTCTCTTTCCCTCAAACTAGTGAAGATGTTATGACTTGGGGCTCCCCGCGTGCTAGAGTGTACGTGAAGTGTGTGGGTACAGTGAGGGCTGCGTCCCACCCGCCTGTGTGGATTCACAGGAAGTGTGAGCTACGAAGTCTGAAGAAAATGTTGAACAGTCTCTGCTGGGATGACGACTACACCATAGCTCAGTGGTTAGAGCATCGCTAGCTACAAGCGAGGGTCCCTGGTTCGAGTCCTGGTGGTGACAGTCAATTTTTTCTTCAGACTTTTCCCGTTTGTCTCTTTCCCTCAAACTAGTGAAGATGTTATGACTTGGGGCTCCCCGCGTGCTAGAGTGTACGTGAAGTGTGTGGGTACAGTGAGGGCTGCGTCCCACCCGCCTGTGTGGATTCACAGGAAGTGTGAGCTACGAAGTCTGAAGAAAATGTTGAACAGTCTCTGCTGGGATGACGACTACACCATAGCTCAGTGGTAAGAGCATCGCTAGCTACAAGCGAGGGTCCCTGGTTCGAGTCCTGGTGGTGACAGTCAATTTTTTCTTCAGACTTTTCCCGTTTGTCTCTTTCCCTCAAACTAGTGAAGATGTTATGACTTGGGGCTCCCCGCGTGCTAGAGTGTACGTGAAGTGTGTGGGTACAGTGAGGGCTGCGTCCCACCCGCCTGTGTGGATTCACAGGAAGTGTGAGCTACGAAGTCTGAAGAAAATGTTGAACAGTCTCTGCTGGGATGACGACTACACCATAGCTCAGTGGTTAGAGCATCGCTAGCTACAAGCGAGGGTCCCTGGTTCGAGTCCTGGTGGTGACAGTCAATTTTTTCTTCAGACTTTTCCCGTTTGTCTCTTTAAAAAAAAAATAATAATAATAATAATTTGAGGGAAAGAGACAAACGGGAAAAGTCTGAAGAAAAAATTGACTGTCACCACCAGGACCCGCACTTGGGTCTTTTTCCCTCCCCCAGGGGACCAACCACGGTCAGTTTCTGGAAACTACCAGAGGTGAAAGAAAGTGATTAAATTTGGAAAGGATTGGGAGAACTTCAAATTCAAAGGATCAGTCGGGGAAGTGAACTGCCTGAAAAGAGAAAAAATCGCCAGACCCACCAGGACTCGAACCTGGGACCCTGCTTGTCATGAGCAATGCTCTAACCACTGAGGTGTGGGACCAGGCTGAACCTAGAAGGCGCTGACAAGTGTTTCACTCCAAAGGCAGCTCACAACACGTGCCACACATACTGATGGCACTTGGGTCTTTTTCTCTCCCCCAGGGGACCAACCACGGTCAGTTTATGGAAACTACCAGAGGTTAAAGAAAGTGAGTAATTTTGAAAAGGATTGGGAGAACTTCAAATTCAAAGGATCAGTCCAGTTGCCACCTACCACAGTCCCGGTCTTCGGGTCGCTGCGCTTGGCTTTTGGCAATACAGACAGACTGGCCAGATTCCCACTTCCCAAAAAAAGTCGAACACATCGCGATTCAAAGCGCTATTCGCGATAATTTTTCTTTGGTGCCTCCTTGGATCTTGCCATCACAACCTCCCAAGAAAAGTAAGTTAGATACCGTGATTGGACTGGGTTTTACCTGTCCAAAAGTGCGTGGGAGATAAGGGACAATATCGATGAGCCGGACTAAGTATTATATCTCGTGTTCTCGAACACTTTGTGAAAAAGCAGACCGTGGAATATCTCACAGCACATGCGCTTTATCTGAAGACTCAGTTTGCGTATTGGAAGTGTCACTCGATGGAGGATGCACTTGTGCTTGCCGTCAACAGGTGGGTGCTTGCACACTCAAATCGCCGCTTCACTGGCATAGTCATGGTAGATTTCATGGTAGTATGAGTAAAACCTTTGATTGGGTGCAGCATGAACGACTCATCTCTGAGTTGCACTCCCTTGGTATCTCTCTCAGTGCTCCACAATGGTTTTGTAGCAATCTGACTGAAAAAAGTCATCAACTTCGGGGACAAACTCTCCTCATCAGTGCATTGTTCCTGTGGTGTGTGCCACAATGGTTTTGTAGCAATCTGACTGAAAGAAGTCATCAACTTCGGGGGACAAACTCTCCTCATCAGTGCATTGTTCCTGTGGTGTGTGGTGTGCCACAGATCAGTGCACTTGGTCTCTTGGTGTTTGTTCTATACACACACCACTATGATGCCATCCCGCCTGAAAAAGTCATCCATCAAGGGTTTGCTGATGACAGCGATCTCAACACTGTGTGCCGACAGCTTAGTGCAGCTGCCACTTCTGTAACTAAATATGGTCATCCAGCCCGTGGGCAGAGAGCTGCCATTCCTGATGTATGCTGTTTTCAGGATGCACTCAAGGTTGCCCCTACTGCCAAGTACCTTGGGGTGGTCATTGATTGCGAACTGTCATGGAAGCAGCATGTGGACAATGTGACTTTTGCATCATTTCATAGAATGTGTTTGTTGCAAGTCAGTTTGACAACAAGTAAGCTTAAATCTGGTTGTGCTATCGAAATGCCTTTGGGTAGAAACATAACAAACATCTTCTGGATAATAGTACTTACCTTTACATTTCGGCTTCAACGAAAAATGCTGTTTCCAATCAGTAACAGTCGTTCCAGTCTTGCACTCACGAACGTATTCTGTAAAGATCAAAGTATGCAGATGTGCAGACACATAGGGTATTACAGACTATTCAGTTATATTTCATTGGACACGAGAATGAGCTCTTGAACATCTCTAGAACTCACAGAAATATTACCAGTCAGTATAATTTATTGTAATAACTCTTTATGAAACTCGGATGTTGAGCCGGTGATAAAAAGAGAAAGGAAAGGAGCACATGGATCCGAGTTAATAGCAACCACCTACCTGTAACTACTGTTAAACCGGAAAGTCTAACGAGTAACAGAGTTTTATAGGGGAGGTTAAGTCGAAAATTTCACCAGTTGTAGTCTTCGGGGTGCTGAGTCGAATGGTCGTGGTCCGAGGAAGCTGATAAGCTCCCTTCCTACTTTAATCCCAATAGAACTCGCGCACTTCCACCGAAACTGGGTGACTGCGCCCTACTAGATGGGGATTTGTATGCAAAATGTCACTAAAAGCGCCATTTTGTTGTAGTCTTTTGGACGCTGAGTCGACTGGTTTTGGTCCGAAAAGGCTGCGATGCAGCGTTCCTCCTTTATTCCCAATCGAACATGGTTGAACAAGCGGTCACGTGCTCCTGCGTACACCAGTCACCTGGTCACCGTGCCTGCAGGGTACAACTTACTAGCCTGTTTGACCTTTTTTGGGTGCAGTCCTGTCACTCGGGTTGAACTCGAGTTGAACCTTGGTGTGAAAGTTGTCGCCTGCTGGCGTGGTAACCAGGTGATTTGGGCACCCAGGAGCACGTGACCGCTTGTTCAACCATGTTCGATTGGGAATAAGGGCCGAACGCTGCATCGCAGCCTTTTCGGACCAAAACCAGTCGACTCAGTGTCCAAAGGACTACAACATATGGGCCAATCGCGGTCATCTGTGCTTTTATAAGAACGAAATGGTGTAATAGGTAGCCGAGTGGTAGGCGCGGTGAAATCAACAATAATTACTTTTATTCTACTTTCAGGTACACACCTGAGATATGATCGTTCGTGAAAGAAGAAGCGGCAAAATAACTGACTTTCTCTCCGGTGCTCACCTAGAGGCTGAATCCTTATTCTTCGAGTTAGCTTTCATTGCTATCCAATCTAATCTAATCTTCTCTTCATCAAAACAGAAATGCGCAGCCGCTTTTATGCAGCAGACGACGTACGCTTACATACGGAGATACACTAAATATACATCAGGCAAAGCTCCGTATTAGTTCCGTACTGCTTCCGTATTGGTCGGGCAGGGATACTACACCCACCCTTCCTACAGATAATCACGCCCTCGTGATTTTAAAAAATTAGTGAAGAGTTACGAACACAGCGTCAACCGGAAGATGGCAAATTATATCGGAAATGATAACGTTTAGAGTAGACAGAAGAAATGAACTGATAACAAATCATAAAGTAGAAGCACACCAGTTTCACACGATCTCACGGGGTCAAAAGGGGAAAGAACTGTCCTCCAAATAGGACCTGAAACCACAGCACTCTTGCTGCACTACGCTGGCACAAACCGCCAGGAACATCGCAGTTCAAAAACCGAACTGAATACACTATAACTATAAGGGGCGCTGTCACACACATTGTCCCACGTTAGCTGGGTAAACCGTGGCTCACCATGATCAGACGCCTACCAAACTAAACTGGATTCACACACTCGCATAAAGGAAGACTGAAAAGAACAGGGAGACTGAAGGAAGAGAGGAAAGAAAATGCCATACCTGGAATCAGCGTTAGTAACCACCGCGGCCGCTGGAGCTACGGCGGGGGTCAAGCCAGGTTTTATCTTCATCTCGGTTGAGCCGGTCACTCAGAGCGGCTAGCTCGGCGTCAGACAAATGACCTCCCTCCTAGTCTTGAATCGTGGTCTTCACATTGGCGATAGCATCGCTTTGCGCGACGTAAAGAGTGATGGTCTAGCCAGGAAGAGTGTTGACGAAAATCTGCATCCCACCAGGGAGACGAAGTACCAAGTGAAGAGTGGGCTCCTGCTTCCGACTGCGTGCCGGCGAAAATCAAACGCTGCTGGTCTTGGGGAATACCCTCCTTGTCTTGGGCAGCAGCCTGCCTGTTGTCGTCCTCATCAGCTTCGCCATCACCACCGGTAGTATACATGTACGTAGCGGGTCGCTTGGAATCGCCATCGGAGTCTCCAGTGAGTGCCGTGCGGAGAGAAGGGTGATCTACGCTAGCACCCTGACTGTGCTGCAGGCTAATAGTAATATTAACAATCAGGGCCAAGCCCAGGAAGGCAAGAAACATGATTCTCATCTTGATTCGTCGCACGGAGCTGTAGCGGGTTGAGGCATCGGAGTCTGGGGTCGAATCACGTTGTTTTATTTAAAACTACACCGCTGCCACCAATGTAATAGGTAGCCGAGTGGTAGGCGCGGTGAAATCAACAATAATTACTTTTATTCTACTTTCAGGTACACACCTGAGATATGATCGTTCGTGAAAGAAGAAGCGGCAAAATAACTGACTTTCTCTCCGGTGCTCACCTAGAGGCTGAATCCTTATTCTTCGAGTTAGCTTTCATTGCTATCCAATCTAATCTAATCTTCTCTTCATCAAAACAGAAATGCGCAGCCGCTTTTATGCAGCAGACGACGTACGCTTACATACGGAGATACACTAAATATACATCAGGCAAAGCTCCGTATTAGTTCCGTACTGCTTCCGTATTGGTCGGGCAGGGATACTACACCGGCGCTTTTAGTGACATTTTGCATACAAATCCCCATCTAGTAGGGCGCAGTCACCCAGTTTCGGTGGAAGTGCGCGAGTTCGATTGGGATTCAAGTAGGACGGGAGCGTCTCAGCTTTCTCGGACCAGGACCATTCGACTCAGCACCCCGAAGACTACAACTGGCGAAATTTTGATTTTTGCCTGAACTTCCCCTTTACTGACCAATTCATTTTTGTTATTTGAAAAATATGTTATCGCTAGATGTCTGTGTAAAGATGCGTACACAGATGGGTGGCCACTTAGCCATCGTTAAACTTTCTGCACGTAATCATGCCAAAATTACAAAACGTTGAACATTTTGGTCGTTATACTTGCTGAACGTTTTGGAAGCCGTATACATCCACACAAAGAAACCCAACCTTTGCAAGCAGAAGCAGAAGCAAATTAAATTCACTCTTAGGCTGTTAGGTAGGTCGTCAAAACCTCGTTAGTTATGTCCAGTGGTTGTCTCTTGTTGCCCCACTACATGTCACGCTTATTGAGTTTTCTCGCACTTGCACCTTTGCGTCTTTATTGCTATGTGCTAGGGGTGAAAGTTGGCACTGAGCACCCGAGTTCGAGTACTCTGATTTTCTCCGATCGAATATTCGAGTATTCGAGTATTCTTGATATCCTAAAAATCGCACACCAACGGCCTTAAAAATCACATGATACAACCCTGATCGAACCGATTGGCAGTCCTTTTCTCGGGTGTATTGGTTGGTGGGTCATTTGGGCTCTCTCTACTCGTGTACAAGTGTTAACCACACAGTCTGCACATCAATATCTGCTGACTGCTGCTCTGAAATGCAGACTTCTCTGGCAAATGCATGTACCATGTATGAGCGAGTACTCTGATTTATTCCGAGTACGATTATATTTGAAAAATCCAAACGAGTATTCGAATATTCGGTATAATTGTTTCACCCCTACTATGTGCATAGGTCACGCTTTTTCGCTGTTTACTTTAGCTATCTTCTTCTTTGCGCTGTTTTACTGTACTTAATTCACTGTTCCTGTTCCTTTTCCTTTGCCTGTATTGCAAGTCTTGTGAAGCCAAAAACCTTCAAGATGTTCGTAAAGAGCCTGAAGTGTGTCCTTTTTATGAGTATTATCGCATTTCTGTCTCAGAGGAAACTGTATTCTTTGTTCCCGTGGGACTTTAGCTTGAACTTATTTCCGTTGCATTTACCTTTTGATCTTTGGTCTCTCCCTTGAACTCTCCCTAGAACTTTCCGAGCTGGAAGGCTGTTGGTTATGGCTTCGGAGAACAATCCCCTGAGAAGGTTGGTTTGCAACGTCAAATCTCCGGATGAAGCCGGACGGGTTCAGATGCACGATTTTCGGAACTGGACCAAGCCAGCTTCATGCATAACACCTTTGTCGACCGGCTATTATGCTTGTAAAGCCAATTTTGAATGCGAAATGGTGTTGTAATGCCAGCATTATGCCACCTGGAAAAAAGGGACGATAATGCCAGCCATCATGCTAGCAATACCCGCCCATGCCTAGCTAGTTAACACGTCACAAAGAGTACTGAGGTGGTGACAAAGATACGTGAAAAGTAGGTGAAAAGTAGACGCCAAGTGAAAGCCAACAAATCATCACGGATGTCTAACAGACGTCTTACGTCACATTCTTCGAGAAGTACACTTGTTATGATGATTTGATGCAATTTTTCAGTGCTTCTTGTTGAAACGGATCATCATAGACACTTCAATGGTCCCTGCAAGGCGATTCTCTGTTCACGTTTGCGGAAAGTTGCGAAGTAGTTCGTAAAAATGAAGAAAGTTGCTGTAGTGAACCCTCTGGTTTTCTTAAGTATCAGGAACGAACGACCACACGGCACGAGGACAACTATTAATTTTAGTCTCAACAGTATATTTTGACATCCATTTAATCTGTTGAGTCACCTTCACCATTACACTGCGCTCCTTAGCCGACTATACCCTCCTGCACACAACCACCATTGCGAGGATACTTCCGTGGACGATATTGATAAACTCGTTCAGAAAGCTGTTTCGCTAATACATATCTCGTCAGTGAAGGTAGATGTTGAATTATTAAAATATAGACCAAACTGCTATTATATAAGGTTTCCACATACAAAAGGTAATAACGTAATAAATCCATTGAATCTAACTAATGAATAACTAACACCAAAACCACCAGGTAGTTATAGCGTGAAAATGACAGTGTATATGAGAAAAGCATACACATACAACATACAACTACCGTAAAAGCCCCCGTATACGCCCACTCGAAATTACGCCCACCCTCCGTGTACACACCCAGTCAGGGGAAGTCAACACTTTTGTTTCAAAATAGCGCCCATGCCCATGTACATGCCCAGGTATGCCGGCAACACCAGTACATGTACAGGTACTGATACCCAATACTTACTGCTATCCCTATTCCAAGCATACGCCCGGTTCCAAAATAACGCCCATGCCCTTGTGTACGCCCAGGAAATCGAGGCTGCTATTCTATACGCCCGGGGCTTATGCACGGGCTTTTACGGTACAGCGCACACAGCAAACAGCACATAGTGCCTGTAGCGTATACCACGTCGTAAACATCAGCGGTACGGCGGAGTCGGGATACAACTGCATTGAAACGAACACAATGTCACAAGCGAGATGGCCTTTCACTCTTCAGAACTTGTGGTTTCGCAACAGTTGCGAAAGTTGCGAACTCTTCTATAACAACCAAAACTTGCGAAAAAAAAGTGGCAAGCATCTTTGGGAAAGGGCTAACCACAAGAGAGTTGAAGTCAAAGCTGGGTTACGTTCAGCCCTGTATCTATCATGCACAGAGTGCACGTAATGTTTATGGGTTCATCACGTGATGTGAAGTTCTTGTTGTCCATTCTTGAAGGGTATGCACTGTTCCTACTGTATACTGTGGACCTTAACCCTTTCACCGTCAGACCATACATTTGTGGGTCGAATTCGACCCATCCTTTGAAATACTCGCACTGGAATGATTTTTTACGCACGATAGAAAATTTACTATCGATTCGATGGCGAATTTTCCAGGCTTTCTGTTGCAGAAATCAGCGTTGAGCTACGATGTAATGGAGCAGAGTTATCAAGCGCTGAGTACTGCACGCTTGTCACTTCCGCTGCACTGGGCGCGCGACTGACGTCGTCACGGGATTTCCCCATTTCTTCACGCGCTCTGTGACTGTTGCACGCTACCAACGTATTCCTCGCGAAATGCTCTAACTCTCAAAAAAATGGATCACTCTACGATGAAGGAGACGGCCATGGCGGAGTTTTGAACTTGTCATTTCCATGCCTGGCGTTGAGACGACGTCGCTGCGATCCAGCGCTGGTTGTGTGACTGCTGAGGTGAAGAATGTGGTATCCTTGTGCTGGTCTCATCCAGAGGTTTCCAACGAGCCCAAGATTATAAAATCGAGTGAGTACAACTAAAGTTATGACCTGGCAAAGTTGAAATTTCGTTTGGCGTTTCAATGGATGAAATGGTTAAAGGGTTCAGCTGATAGAACTGTGGAATACTAGTACATGGACATTGAAGTATGCACATGGCAGGGTGTTCGATAAAATGGATCTGTGGGTGGGTGGACAGTCTTTAAATATAACAACAGAGAGTATCACAAACCCCGCATTCACGTCACATACTTTCAACTAGCCTAGGTTGGAACCCGTTGGTCAAGGTGCATGTTGCCAAGAGAACAGCTACGATAGCGAGTGATATCTGTAGCAACAAGAAATGGATAGTCACACACGGATATTTACGTACACCGACCGAACTTCTTTGCGCATATAGAGATGTTCCGCATAACGTTATTACGTTAGTAAAAACGTAGTCGATCTACGGAAAGTCTTACGTACACTGCGTGCGGAGCTGTGTTCCACCATACAGAGTTTTAGAAGCACGCATATGTAGCTGCCCATGCCAGCTCAGAGCATGGCAGATTCCAAACCGAGTCGACCTGTGGAGAGAGTCATAAATTTGAACCCTAATCCACTTACGGAGCACCTCCATTATCAGAGCCCTGTTATATCTACGCACTGACAATTTTTCGTAAGTAGCTAAACTTTATGTGGTGCTGAACTTCTCTATAGACGCACCCAGATTTTTGTAGCGAAAGACAGACCCTGCTCTTGGAATAGAAGCCGCACGTCTCACTTACTAGGTCTAGCTCATCGCAATTATGGCTTATCTCCCACGCACTTTTTGACAGGCAAAAGCCAGTCAGATCGCTTTTTCTGACTCACTTTTGTGTTTGAAGTTGTGATGGCAAGATCAGAGAAGTCTTCTAAGAAAAAACCACCATGATTGTCGCGAGTAGCATCGCGCATGGCGGGTTTAGCTACACCAAGTAGCAAGCGGACGCACGCACCTACACCGCGAAAGAAGTGTGCAGATGTGAAAACGTCGGGTCGCTGGAGGATTGTCACCGCGTACCTTGAGCTCTGCAAGGGCCGTGATCGCCTGCCACGAGGTTCCATGGCCAGTCTGAATCCGAATACATTTACTAAAAATTGACCCAAATTGCACATAACACGAAGCTGGTTTTTGAAATTTGTAAGTCGTGTATCTTCCCCATTTCTTCTTTATGACTTGCACAATACACCAATCTGCCTAAATAACACATTTATAGCAGGGGTTAAGTACCATATAAGACAAGTACAGCCAGTGATATTGTCATGTCTAAATACTACAATTTTGACACAAATTACACATCACACGAAGCTGGTTTTTGAAAAATTGTAAGTCGTGTATCTGCCCAATTTCTTCTTTATGACTTGCACAATACACCAGTCTTCGAAAACAACACATTTATAGCAGGGTTAAATTCGGCCATATCCCAAAGTCAGAATTTGGCTCGAAGCGATACTTGTCACCTTTCGCAGATAATGGCTACAGAAATCTTATCTGCATGCTGTAGAGGCAATCAAATATCGATTTTCGGCGAATTCAATGCGAAAATTGCGCATCCGGCGAAAAGATTGGAGATTTCTTCGAAACCATTGTTTTCGGCCGATTTGGGAACTGCCTACAGTCCATTTCAAAACTATAGACGCGTACCTAGGCAAAAACCGTTATGCCAGCATCTATACCACATAAAATCTGTGATCACTTTGTGCATAATTTTTTCCAAATTGGGTGTCTGTTATCCAATCGTTCAGAATTTACATGAGAGTAATTGTGGAGCGGACCTGAGCAATATTCCAAAAACTTTCCTCAAAAAGTTCCAGCCAAATTTGAAATATTTCAAAACCCTACGCCTCTATAGTTTTGAAATGGACTGTACTCTATTCTCGTGTTCAACATTGATGTTCCCCACACAGTCTGCACATCCGTATGCTGCTTGCTGCTCTGAAAATCCACGTTTCTGTGGTAAATGCATGTACAATGTGTTCTTTTTATGAGTATTATCGCATTTTTGTCTCAGAGGAAACTGTTTACAATGTATGAACGAGTAATTTGAATTATTCCCGTAGCTATGCAAAAGACGTTACTTCAGTGAAGTCTGGCGCTAGCCAGGGTCCACAGAGCTTTAATCCCGTTTTTGTTTGTTTGTGCTTCCTGCATGCCTGGCGCTATCCGGTACCTGTCCCGTACCGTATCGTACCATCAAAGACAGCTGGCCACAATATTCAAATAGGGCTTTCAAATGCAAGATCATAACGTGAAGCAACTTGGAAGAATGAGTATGAATGCCTAGTGTGTCCCGGGAATGCATGAAGGGCAACTTTAAGTGTGTAGGGAGAATGCATGCAGGGCGATAGTGCGGATTCTAATTCTAGGTTATGTCTTGAACAAAAATATGGGAAACGAAACATTCAACATAGAGGTCCCCGAGGTCTTTTACGAGGTCTATATTTCATATATTGACCGATTTTTTTCTAAGTTGAGGAAAAGTATATTCACTCCTTTTTGCTCTTGAGCTTGCGCATGGAGAGGTATAAATATATTATAACAAGGGACCTCGTGTATATCGAGAAATATAGATCATTATCGCCTTCTTAGTATTTGACCCCACTAATTTCCCTGATACCTAAGCGGTCAAATATATCGCGTATTTGACTAAGCAGTCAAATACGCGATATATTTGGCTACTTATATTTGACTCCTTAGAATTTCTTGGACTTAGAAATTTTCTCTCCAACTTAGAAAAATAAATATTTGAAGAAAGCGGAAATACACAAGACGGGATTCGAACCCACAACCATGTGAATTTCAGTCACTCTTCCTTACCTCCCAGCCACTGTGCTACCGATGCTGAACTTAGTTTAAACAATGACCTTGATCCTGCAATGCCGTACAATGCGGTATAGCCTATAGTATAATATTAGAATTACAAGGATATGTTGTATATGAAGAGAAACTATTGCGTGGAGAACACGATAAATAGATTATAGACCTCATAGTTGGTCTATACAGGATATATAGACCTCGTAAAAGACCTCGGGGGACCTCGGTCTTTTACTCGGTCTATATATCCTGTATAGACCTCTAAACACCGATGTCGTAGTGTTTATGGGAATATAAACACTGCGATAAAAACCGAGGCGTAGCCGAGGTTTTTATAGACAGTGTTTATATTCCCATAAACACAAGACAGAGGTGTTTATGCTATTTATACCTAGCTTCGTTTTTGGCCTGAAATACTGGTCCGAAATAGCTATTTTAGTATCCCAGTATACTATAGTATACTATTATGTGTAGGTAGCATTGCGTGTTCCAGACCTAAAACCTAACTTTCAACCAACATCTGCATCAACACCCTTGTGGCTGGGTGGTCAACATAGGTGCTTGGGAATCTTATGGTTGCTGGTTCGATTCCTGCTGAAATTTCTTTCTTCTCTTCAATTTTTTTCAATTGGAGAGAAAATTTCTAAGTCCCTTGAAAGTTGAAAAGTTACAACCTCTAAGTGGGTAATATAGCAAAGTATATACCCCAAGTTAAAGTAGTGAATATGGAGATATATTCACCAGTTATAGATCACAAGAATTAGTGGGGGTTAATATGAGCTGGGTAAAATATATCCGTATAACCCTCGAATGGAAAGAGAAAGTAAATATTTTTCGCTCATGGTCCTATGCTATGCCTTTTTGCCTAGCTCATCATGCATTTTGTATTATTAATTTTACTAGAGCCACGTTAACCCGTCATGTGTGAGCCATGAATAAGGGGAGTGGTGGCGTGGTCTGGAATGCTCTGCCGACCTTGGCGGCATGTTACTCGAACAGATGGAGACTTTTTGCAATGCAATGATGTAGCCGATCAGTTCGTTGTGGTATGGTTGGGCATTGTAGCCATCATGGTCGACGTAGAACAGTATAAAACCGCAAAAGTTTTATAAAACCCAATAAATTCTGTAATTTCTTTTGCCTAAGGGGCCGTCCGGGGTTACCGATTGTTTTTTACAAAACGAAAAGTTTTAGTATTTTTCAGCCCCCACCCACCCACCCACCTTTTCTGCAGGTAAAACGAATTCCAATAAAATATTGATGTCAATTTTCGACATCCAGAAGTAACTGGGCATTCTCAATCAGCATTCAATAATTATTTTCAAAACGAAACACCATCAAACCCACCCACCCACAAACGAAAACATTTCGTTTTGAAAATATTATTGGTAACCTCGGACAGCCCCTAACTCATATTCAAACTGATTGAAACTCTTTTGAAACTCTTTTGCAAGACAATGATGTAGCCAATCAATTGAAAAAGACATTTCCATCAGTTCGACTAACATTCACGACGTTCGACGAGCTAGGCAAAAAGCATAGCGTAGGGCCCTGACTTTCCAAGCTCTCTCGCTCGGATTCCAACTATTTAAAAAAAAAAAACATGTACTTTGTGTATGAATGATTCTTCAATTTGCAGCTACAGCCTCTCTGAAATCATCTCTGAAATCAACATCCTTCCCTGTAAAAAGTTGGGGATTCCCTAGTAAAAATTAATAAGAATAAAATAAAATGCAATAAACATCCACGGTGGTGGAACTGACCATTGTCACCGACGACATGATGTCAAGAGTCCCAGTAGAGAAGAAGAATTGCAGCGACTGTAAAACCGGGAAGAAGAATCAAACAAACAAACCATCATGTTGTTTAATACGACCAGGACAATGTAAGTGTGCCCAAAAGTTTCACTTTGGACAACTCCGTTCGCAATGTTATCCCTCTCCGTGATTGCAAAGGTTCACAAGACTTTTGGATGTGCTGATCCACATACAGGACAACTACATGTAGCTTGCTTTTAGGCAACTTGCTTTCAAGACAACTCTCCTCTAACTAAAGCTTCGGAGAAGAAGAATGAGGAGACAAGGTGTAATCGCATACGCATACAGGAAAGTGTTTGCACAACCATTATCGGTACGCATTGATGTGAAAGCTTCACCCCAAAAAGGAAAATTGATGTGACAGCGAGTCCTACTTTAATACCGCATTCGGCACTACATGAAACAGTACACACCCAACGAAAACTGTGCATGCGCCTCGTACATATCGACGAAAGGTCAAGAGCAGGGAGTCGTACAGACCCGTCATCATTATCAAAACCCAGGGTTTGTGCTATCGATCCCTGGTCAAGAGCGTGTGAACTGTTGCGTACATTTCCAACAGGGTCGAGCAGTATTGTCCTACTCCCTGGTATGGCATTCTCGCTACAAGTACATGACAGTATATGGATTATCCCATGAGTACGAGGACAGCACACCTATTCTAATATTCATTGACAAACACGAATCGAACTTACCGCGAAGATAGCAGATCCACTGTCACTCAAGTCCTCAAAGTCCAGCGTAGTCAAAACTCCCTCTTGCGATACAAGAAAGCAACTGAGCAGGAGACTGAAGGTGAAGCCCTTATATACCCGAGCTCGTGCGTCGCGCGTTGCGCGGGTTGCGACGGTCGCGGTTGGGCCGAAGCGCGATTCCATTTGCGTTCGGGAATGGGTTCGCAATTCTCGCAATGCGCGCGTTGCGCAGGTCGCCAGTAATGCGGAGCTCCATTCATTAACCCATGAGTACGAGGGATACCGTCGAGGGGATACCGCAGGTTGCCGCGGAGCACGGGTTCAAATTGCGTTCCGCAAACACCTCAGCTCAATGAACTAATGCGTACGCCTCGCAGTGAAATGCTGCAAAGGATGCGCATTTCGCAGTAAACCGGAGGTCTGAATTCAATTTGCGTTCGGGAACACCTCGGAATGAAATGCTGCGCAGGTAGCGCATTCCGCAGATAAATGCGTTCGGGAAGCGCCTCGCAATGAGCTAATGCGGATGTTCCGCACGCGGTTAATCCCGAGCCCTGTGCAAATTGCGTTCGGGAAATGCCTCGCAGGTCACGCAGATCGCCGTGAAGTCGGAGCTAGGGTTCAATTAAATTTTGCGTTCGGGAAACACCCCGCAAAGAACTAATGCGTGGGCTCCGCACGCGGTTCAGATCGAAGCAATGTGCGTTCGGGAAACGCCTCGCAATGAAATTCTGCGCAGGCTGCGCATTCCGCAGATAAATGCGTTCGGGAAGCGCCTCGCAATGAGCTAATGCGGATGTTCCGCACGCGGTTAATCCCGAGCTCGGTGCAAATAAATTAAAATTGCGTTCGCGAAATGACTCGCAATGCGCTCCAGCGCAGGTCACGCAGATCGCCGTGAAGTCGGAGCTAGGGTTCAATTTGCGTTCGGGAAACAACCCGCAAAGAACTAATGCGTGGGCTCCGCACGCGGTTCAGATCGAAGCAATGTGCGTTCGGGAAACGCCTCGCAATGAAATTCTGCGCAGGCTGTGCATTCCGTAGATAAATGCGTTCGGGAAGCGCCTCGCAATGAGCTAATGCGGATATTCCGCACGCGGTTAATCCCGAGCTCGGTGCAAATTGAGTTCGCGAAATGACTCGCAATGCACTCCAGCGCAGGTCACGCAGATCGCCGTGAAGTCGGAGCTAGGGTTCAATTTGCGTTCGGGAAACACCCCGCAAAGAACTAATGCGTGGGCTCCGCACGCGGCTCAGATCGAAGCAATGTGCGTTCGGGAAACGCCTCGCAATGAAATTCTGCGCAGGCTGCGTATTCCGCAGATAAATCCGTTCGGGAAGCGCCTCGCAATGAGCTAATGCGGATGTTCCGCACGCGGTTAATCCCGAGCTCGGTGCAAATTGCGTACGCGAAATGACTCGCAATGCACTCCAGCGCAGGTCACGCAGATCGCCGTGAAGTCGGAGCTAGGGTTCAATTTGCGTTCGGGAAACACCCCGCAAAGAACTAATGCGTGGGCTCCGCACGCGGTTCAGATCGAAGCAATGTGCGTTCGGGAAACGCCTCGCAACGAAATTCTGCGCAGGCTGCGCATTCCGCAGATAAATGCGTTCGGGAAGCGCCTCGCAAATCCCAAGCTCGGTGCAAATTGCTTTCGGGAAATGACTCGTAATGCACTCCAGCGCAGGTTACGCAGATCCCCGTGAAGTCGGAGCTACATTGTAGGGTTCAATTTGCGTTCGGGAAACACCCCGCAAAGAACTAATGCGTGGGCTTCGCACGCGGTTCAGATCGAAGCAATGTGCGTTCGGGAAACGCTTCGCAATGAAATGCTGCGCGGGTTGCGCATTCCGCAGATAAATGCGTTCGGGAAGCGCCTCCCAATGAACTGATTATAGGCCGTAGGGATATCAGCGAACACACTGCGCAGAGGGTTTGCGCAGTTATGATGTAATCGAATTTTGTACATGTCAGCATGCCAAGCGCGGCCGCGCGCGCCCCGAAAAGTCCTAGTCAGAAAATGAATATTTTGCCGGGAAACTGGAAGGAGTCTTGATGGAGAAGAAGGAGAATGGCGGCTGAAGTCGGAACCTTGCGCTCAGGATCTGCCGTTTCGTTGATTGCCTCGTATATTCGCTGCTGGTGAAGGATTAGTGGGTATAGAGTGACATGCCTACGGTAACAGCCACGCGATCAACTACAGATGAGCCGAGCCCCGGGACTTTCTTCAGACGAATTTTCAAATTTGTCCTTCGATGCCCAAGGAGCATGGGTGAATCGAAGGCGATTTTTTACAACGTTCCCACAGGAGAAATCTTCTAATTTTTGGTGAAATGGTACGTCACCCATGTGCAAAGCAAGAAAAAAATTAACCGAAGCAATCCAAGGTCCCAGAGGTCAAAAGTTCACAAGGTCGATCATTCAAGAAGAACTCAGGAAGATGAAGAAGCTTGGACGATCGACGAACATGGGCCTGTCGTCCTTCACCGATTTTTAATACTGTGTGTTTTGTATAAGTTCGTTAGTGTAATTGCTGGCAGAGGATGCCCAAAGTGAGGTGCACAGTAGTCGGACATCATCAGAATCGAAACAATGGGGGTCTGTTCACAGCAGTATGTGCTTTCAAATTATACAAATATTATTATGTAGGTCGCGAGCCACGTGCGACCAGTCGCCATTTTATTTGCTTCAATTTTTTGTCCCCGCCAGTACATACATGTACATGTACATTACGAAGTAGGGGTTGCGACTTCGGCGATGATTGATCGAGCTCCGGTGTGGGGAGCAAACCTTTCTTACATGTACATTGGTATTATTATTATTTTAATATTCTCGTATCCGTCCCAAATGGGACTCACGACGGCAGAATTAACTGTGAGCATGTGTGTGTGAGAGTGGGACGGAACGAAATGAAAAAGAAAAGAAGTCTTGTAATAAAGGTCAAATTTAAGAAGAGCAGTACTAGACTAAATGGCCGAGCAGATGTAGCGCTGAAAACTGCGCAAACCCCGTGCGCAGTGTGTTCGCTGATATCCCTATTATAAGAATAAAAACTGCTTTATGGCAGCTTTCTAAAAAAATGTTATTGTGTTCTAGTCCTGGGTCCTTTATAAATTGCTTCCAAACTGCCTTGGAGTTGGACTCCGTCTAGGCCTTGACGGACTATGCTAGAATAATTTTTCGCATAATTCCTACCAAAATAGAATAATCGCATAATTCGAGACAAATTGCATACATACATGTACGAATCGCATAAAATGGAATAATCCGCCTGTTCGCATCAAATTCTATACAGTTGTACATGTTTTACAAGTGCAGTTGTGCCTGGGCATATAGCTAAGTGGTAGAGCATTCGACTGCAGATCGAGAGGTCCTTGGTTCAACTCCGAGTGTGCCCTAGCTTCTTTTTGGGACTGCCCTATTCAAAATTTAATAATAATAAATCCAACCCAACATCCTCGACATCTAGTCCCCCATGGGTGACACGGTCCCTCGTATCTGAAGTGAAGCGCAAGCGTGATCTTTTCAGCATCTACAAGAAATTCCCAACGCCGGTTAACCGGGAGGCTTACCGAGTTCAACGCAACTTCGTCAAGCACCTTTCTCGTACCTCACACCGCTCCTTTCTAAACTCTCTTTCTGCAACACTCTCCTCCCCCGATCGCCCATCACTCCACCAATTCATTCGCAACCGGTGCCGCGGGACCTCCCGCGCGCCAATCCAGTACCTGACGGACTCCCATGGCAACCGCCAGCACGATGTGAAGGCGATTGCAGACACACTGAACAAGCAGTTTGTTTCATCCGGCATTCCGGAAGATCCGAATTGGGTCATTCCATCGCTGTCCCCAGCCCCTGAACTTAGCGCACCACTCACACGCGTCGTTACCACGACTGCTACCGTCTGTAAGCACCTCAAACTCCTGAAGAATTGTAAGTCCCCTGGCGAAGATGGCATACCCAATGAGGTTCTCAAATGGCTTGCGCCATCTCTGTCATATCCCTTGTGCCTGCTCTTTAACATGTCATATCGTACAGGAGTATTTCCGTCCGTCTGGAAATCTGCTGTTATCGTCCCGATCTATAAGAAAGGCCAACGCTCTCAGGCTGGCAACTACAGACCAATCTCTCTCCTTCCCGCTGTGTCCAAGGTCTGTGAACGTATTTTCTTTGAGTCTCTGTACTGCCACGTCACCCCAGCGCTTTCACCATCTCAATCCGGTTTCTGCCGTGGAGACTCCACAACTTTCCAACTAACACGTCTAGTACAAGACATCTACACCCAGCGGAACCTCAGGCGGCATGTTGGCATCGTGTTCTTTGACCTAGCGAAAGCTTTCGACACCGTCTGGCATCGTGGTCTGCTTGCAAAGCTAGAGTCCGTCTTCTTGGTACACGGTCCAGCCCTGCAATGGCTCTCATCCTATCTTTCCTGCCGCCACCAGACTGTCAGAGTATCTACCTCCCTATCAGACCCATTACTAGTCGTGTCTGGGGTACCCCAGGGTCCATGCTTGGGCCGCTCCTATTTCTACTGTACGTTAATGACTTGCCAGCCCTTGTACCAAATGTAAGTCTTTTTGCTGACGACACTGCTCTGATGTGCTCCGACAGCTCGGCAGACAACCTCACGGCCTCCATGCAGTCCGGGGTCAACGCTACAGTAACATGGATGGAAACCTGGAAACTGAAGCCTAACCTCGCCAAAACCGAGGCCATGTTCTTCTCTCCCTCGCCCCCCACTCAACTTCTGTATTTTCCTGGTCTAAATAGTACACCTATTAAAGTTGTTAACGAGCACAAGCACCTGGGCGTTATTCTCGACCGCCAACTCTCCTGGTCTCCACAAGTCCAGTCTGTGTGCAAGCGTGCGAGTGCGTCCTTAGGTATGCTACAACCCCACTGCCAACACTTGAATGATAACTGCAGAGAATTGTTCTTTAAGTCGTACATTTTGCCTATATTTGACTATTGCGATATAGCTTGGTGCGGGTTGTCTCAGACTTTACTCCACAGACTGGAGGTACATCAACGCTTGCTTCTGAAAATTCTGTTTCGAAAAGACCAAACATTTGCCTCCCTTTGTCTTTATAAACTTGCTTCCACGCACCCTCTTCTTGCCCGACATCAGCAGCATCTTTGTATCCTTGTGCAAAAAATCTTCCTAGCCCAAGTCCCGAAACATATTGCCAAGTACAACTGGTTTGTTACCACTAGACCAACACGCAATGCCTTATCACTGCCCCGAGCTAGTTCCTCTCTGTTTTTGAAATCCCCTTTCTTCTCAGCATACTCCCTTTGGTCTAACCTGCCTACTAGCATTAAGACATGCCAGGATATCAGGAAATTCACAGTCCAGCTTTCCACACTGTCTCATCCGAAGTGATCCCATGTATTATTAATGT